GTGGCTCTTGCTCGCGCCTCAGCTCCTTCTCACGCCTTTCCTCCTGCTGGCGCCTCAGCTCCTGTTCCAAGCGCGGCTCCTGCTCGCGCCTCAGCAGTTGTTGGCGCCTCTCCTGCTCGCGCCTCTCCTGCTGCTCCAAGCGCCGCTCCTGGAGCTCGCGCCTCCGCCTTTGCAGCTGCTGCTCCTCCTCCTCCAGGCGCTCCCGCTTCAGCTCCTGCCGCTCTCGCCGGGGCAGCTCCTCCTCCAGGCGTTCGCGCTGCTCCTGCTCAAGGCGCTGGCGTTCCTGCAGCTCTCGCCTCTCTCGCTTTCGGTCAGCAAACTCCTCCGGCGCGCGCCCCTTGCGCCCCGGCCGCTGCTCGTCCTGCTCCCAGCGCGCTTCGCGTTCTCGCCTTTGCAGCCGCTGCTCACGCTTCTCTTGCTTCTCCCACGGTTCCTCCTCTTCCTCTGCGAGCGCTTGCTCCAGTTCCTGCCTCTTCTGCCTGCGTTCTTCTTCCAGCGGTCGGTCCCGGGGCTCCAACCTCCTTTGCTCTTCTTCTTGCCAGCGATCTTCTAACGGGGTCCCTTTCCCCCCACGCTTGGCTCCCTTCTCTGACCCCGAGGCCTGGGCGAGAGCGTAATAACAAGCTTGAGCCACCTTGAATATGAACAGGAGGAACTCGTTGAAATCGACAAGCCGGTTACAGTCGCGATCCAGAAGTTCCAGGATCACATCCACCGTCTCAGGGTCTTGTGGTCTCTATGAAAAAGAGGAAAACAAAAAATTTTTTTACAATGTACCATTTACACGTAGTAAACTTTCACACATACGTGTATTTTTATGATATGCTGACATTCAAAAGACATTAAGAGCAACGAGGAAAACCCCAGTGTGTAGGGAGGCTTGTCCCCATGTAAAACGTGAACACCATTTTTGTAACATACATTCGTTGGACATTTTTGCGTCTTGTAATTTAATGCTGATGAAAAGAACACAAGTTCGCTTTAGCTGGATGAATAAGAATGAACTCATCCTCAAGAGAGAACTAGTATGGAAATTTATGAAAGTTTGCCCCAGCCATTTCTGTCTGAAATAGCCAGCACCCTGATTTAACTTTTATTCCATGTTTGAAAACAGAACAAAACATGTATGGTAATACCGTTTTACTAATGAACAGGCTGATTTTAATTATTGAAATTTGGAAGTAACTTTAAGTTCCTTCCAAGTCTAGTTTAATCTGACATCTTTGGTTGTAACTTCCCATGAACAATTCATTCACATTGACATTGCCATCAAAGTACATGAAATACTTGCTAGCAACTCCTTTAGTACTCAGACTATGAGTATGAAGTCACCATTCCTTACTCTGGTCTCTCCTGAGAAGAAATTTCATAACCCTAAGTCAGTAGAGAAATTTCCTTTTCTTCTTTTTTCTTACCCGAAGGACAGCTCCAAATTCCCTTTCAAGGAGGTTCTTCAGGTCTTTCTTGCATAGTGCCGCCCCATCACAATCATGTGAGGCATACTGATTGAAAATTTCAGTGATATCAAAGATGCTTCTCAGAAGTGGAGACATTTTTTTTCCTTCCTTCAAGTTCAAGTAAACCTAAAACAATAAAATAGGATTCAGATTCAAAACTCTTTCAGGCAGATCCCTAAATAATTTGACTTTGCAACAGTAGTTATTTTCAACCTGGACTTTCAAACCATTTTATCTTTGACTATTGTACTTCGAAAGGGGAAGAGAGATTCTGAGACATTTTAGGCCAGAGGAATTCAGACCACTGTAGTCAGCTTTTGATTGTCCACCCAATCTGGATTACCCATATGCTTTCCTGTTCTCTCCTCCTGCTCCCTAGCGTATATCAGATCAGACAGGAAAGAGAAGAATGTAGGAATTGAAATTCAACATGTTACTGCTCATCCCATCTTCCTCTAAAGTTGAACAAAGAGGATAGGTGAAAGCCAAAAGGTGAGGGAAGATCTAAGGGTATCTTGAAGTGGGTTGCAGCCATGTACACCTAACCGTGGCAGCAAAACATTTGGTGGTAACTAGAACAATAAAAAGGGAATGTGGGTTTTTCCCCCAACATTATAGTTTCCAAGAGATCTAGGAGTGTAACTCGTAAGTCACCAGTTCTAAGATTCAGCACTCCTTCTTAGTTAAAGGTGGCATTGTGATATTCAGATACACCAATGCAGAAAACAGTGCACGTTATGCCTTAAGTTAGACATGTGACAGATACTCAGTTATTGAAAGCTTCTGAGAGGTACTTCTTGACTAGCTACCAGAGTCGATGGGTCAAACTGAACCTGGAAAACCTGAATAATATTGGTCTTATGGTTAGCTTTTGTTAAACCCAAATAAACCACTTGAATCTTGGCATTATAAAAAAAACAGGACTTAGCCAAAAGCAGAACCATGTTAAAAGAATTCATGGAAAGCTTCCCTGGCTGGGTGAGTATAGTGCTTCCTCTAGCTGGCTTCTTTAATTACTTCTCAACTCCAAGACCTCAGATGCTATAACTATATGAAGATGGCCTATATTGGGTAGAACCAATATAAAAAGGGAGCCAAGGGTTGGCAAAGTCTTGAGATGGCAGTTTTTAGGAAGATGAACCCCATTACATGCCCATCTGCCAACCCCTGACCTGCAAACAAACTTACAGAACTCAGGGCCTTAGAAGAGCCATGTCTCCATTCGAGTGATGGCGCCCACCGTAAGATGGCCCGGAGTTAGTGGGAGCTAGACATCCCTGTGAGATGCTGAAGTCTTCTGGCAACATAGACACTCATTGCCCCCCTCCCGCCAACATCTACAGTAGCTGGAAAATGAAGAATCACACAGAAGAACACGATCCCACTGAACGGGACTTACCCACTTCACCAGAGGGAGAGGTTCAGTGCTGGCTGACACCGCTGGCAAGTGTACTGGGCAGCCAGGACCTGGGCCTTTTATAGGGGTTTTAATTGTGCCCTGAAGACCAACTTGGGAAGGAGACGCCCACTCTGTGGGATGGCCTGATTCATTCCTCACCAAGCCCAGCTCCACCTCTGTCTCCACAAATGGCTTGTTTATCTCACTATTTGCTCACGTAGCTATTTGGCACGGAGTTCACAGACCTTGCCCTCCTGATGGTCAGGGTACTGCCCCACCTAGCATGAAAGGATAGAATATTTAACAGAATCTCTACTTTTCTTTAATCACTAAAATTCAACGAAACAATAAAATCAAGAAATTGATGTTTAGAATCTTAATTATGACTTCACTATAAAGTAGTAAACTCTAAGCCATTTACTATATAAAAAATGTAAGTTCTAGGTTGAGGTTAAACAGAAACTGATTGCATTAATTAATTTCTCCCCAGGATGTGACAATCCATGGGGAGCTGCTTTAGCCCTGCCTGAAGCAGTTATAGGACAATGAGAGGGTATAGGAATTGGTTTTAGTTTCTTTAATAAAGCAAGGTGGGAGAAAAATTGCGTTTGTATTCTTGGATTTATGATGATTCTCCTAGAGATTGGGATTGCCTCCTCAGTAAACAGTTTTGGAGGGTACTTTAAAAATATGTTTCATTAAATTGTTCATAAGAGAACTTGAAACCTGTGAAATTTCATTCTTAGGGATACAGTCCATCTAGATGAAGTTTGCTGTTTCTTTTCTCATTAGCATATGGATGCCCCTAGAGAAAAAGAGCTGGTGTAATGCATTGTTGTAGATACAATCATCCTGCTCAACTCAAGTTACTAGTGATTAAGACACCGAAACACTTGACGCTGCTTCTCCTGGAAGCACATTCATGTCATCGGTGATTCTAGCGCATTATCTCTGTCAGGGCTTTCTCAACCCTGGCGATTGTTTGCAAAACTCAGTGCCATTTTATTGTAAGGAACTGGATTTTATCCCTGGTTGTCAGGACCCCCACCCTTACATTTCAGGCTATATGAAACTTTAGTTCACGGTAGGTTTATGGAGACTATTAAATGATTCAGTGGCTTTCGGCATTTCTGTCTCCTCCTTTGTCCCACAGAGATAAGTACTGGTTTTCGGAATTCTGTGGAGACTCTACAGGGCCCTTCCATGGAATGTAATTTGGAACCTAAATCTTGATGGCTATTCCTTTATGTGCAGATTGATCCAAATGATAGTGAAGTTAAATTCTATTTGACCCCTCGCTGCTGCCATCCCGAGGTGGGGTGAAAGGAAAGTGGAAGTGGTAGGTGATGAGAAGACAACTGTAAGCCTGGCTCACGTTGGCGTCCTGAAGGATGTCGACACTGACGCCTGTGATCAGGGGTTTTCCTAGAACTGTCACCATTTCTTGGGATCAGTTAACAAGCTTGATGTAGCAGCTCCTTAGTGAAGAGTGAAGCTTTCTCTGCTTCCCCCCACCTTCTATTTAGGGTTTTATATAGTTCTCTTAATTTGTGAATTCTAGGATAGATTCATTGCAACCACAAATCATCATGGAACTTCTATCTCTGACAGCAGGTACGAGTCTTTTTTTTTTTTTTTAAATTTTATTGGGGAGTTAGGGGAGGGGAACAGACAAGTTGTTGTTCTTCAATCTTCATTGTGGAGGGCGCCAGTCACCATCTGGCTTCCTGTCGGCGGCTCATGGCCTCTAAACTCAAGGTGCTGTGTTCAGTCTTAGTTGCGGGTGGGTGTAGCCCACCATCGAACAGGCAGTCTTGTTGTTACACCAGCTGAGCCATCCTGCCACCTGTTGGCAGCTCAGTGGCAGCTCAGCTCGGGTACAGATCACTGGCCCATGTGGGAATCGAACCAGTAGCTCTGTTGCTCAGAGCTCGCGCTCTTAAGCCAATTCTTAACCAACTGAGCCACTCGGCTGGCCCGAGATACGAGCCTTTTTTAATGAGTGTCCTTCAAAGGATTCACTGGACAAACCCTGCCTTATGTCTGAATCTGTTTTTATCCACCTGCGTGCGGTCTGTGGGGAAACAGCCCAGGTGCTGGGATGCATTGGTGTGATTCTATTACCTTTCTATAGTCAATAAACTCAAAAAGGGACTGGACGTTTATTAGCTTCTATGAAAATAAGGAGAAAATATTCATCATTCTAAAATCATGTTTGAGCAAGCAAAACAAATAGAGGCAAACCCCAAAGGGAAAATGCTTCTAAACAGCCTTGAGAAAATGGCTGAAATTGCATAGTAACAGAAAAACTCCTTTCTGAATGAAGCTAGATCCGGATGAAACTAGATCTTAAATCCAGTGATGGTTCTCTTTCCCACCCTTGTTTAAGTCAGTATAGCATAAGGGAAAATATTTTAACACCTGAACACATGTAAGCACATTAGCCTCTCTTCCTTGCTGCTCTTGGTTCATCATCAGAAAGATTGTAAGAAGATTCAAATGCTAAATTCTAAAAAATCAGGTTTGACACTCTCCTAATGAAGTGGCTCTTGTTGCTATACAATGGTCTTTTATTTAACACAGCATCATTATTAAAAATATGATTTTAAGAGGAGCTCCTGACATAACGTTTGGACAGGGAAACAATGTTCATTGCGTTCTATCCTTAGAAGTTTGGTAAATGCCAGAGAATGTAGAAAATCATCAAGTACTAACATATCAGTTCAGTCTATTTTTTTTGAAGACCAACTGAGAATCCTTGAAATGTGGCAGAGTCCACTCATTGTGGTTCATCAAAAAAGAGTCCACTCATTGTGGTTCATTAAAAAAAAAAGTTTTTATAATCTGAGCATTCCTTACGGACAAAAATTCTCATTATCTGTCTTTTATAAAACTGGAGACTGAGGTGTTGAGTGTTCGGAGAACATGCCTGACTGGCCCAGGAAGGACCCAAGTGCCACTGCTCCATTCTGTAGGAATGTCCTCCTTTATCAAGGGTTAATGCCAGTGGGTCCTGAGCATAGCTACAGTATCATACTGTTACTTGGCTTTGAGATATGAGCTCTTCCCTACAGAGGAATTGAAAAGAGAAAATAAAATTTATATCACCCAGAAGCTTTAAAATTGCATCAGTCACGAAGCCTCATCTGTGCTGAAATCTTTGGAGTGGAGCTCTGCTGGGTTAACACACATAGAAGAGCTAAGGAAGCACTAGGTTTTCCTGGTCTTTGTCCCATTCAAGGGCTCTTACCCCTTTTTCTTTTGTCAGAACCCAGAAAAAGCCGATAACCGATTTGATTTTCTGTGGCATTCTACCAAGACCAAACCATACCTTGGCCTTATTGGAAAACCACCAAGGTGCAAATTTAGATAAAGCAGAGAAGAGACCGGTGTCACCCTCAGCCTAATGAGCTTCTCTAGAACCCAATACGAACCATAATATGGAACTCTGGGAAAATGAGATGACTTTTTCCAAGTCAGATGACTTTAAGATGGCTTTAAACAAAGTAAGATTCTTTGGTAAGCTCTCTAAATGCTTCTCCCATGAAGACCTTTTCTTTAAAATTATGTGTTCAACCTTTCAAGTTTTTCTATTGTTTCTTCTTATTCATTGACCCACCCCCAGGGACCCCACCTCTGCCAGTCCAAAACCCAATATATTTTCTTCGAGGTTCCACACAACCATACAAATTCCATC